GGCTGCAGATGACGCAATCAAGAATTTATTGTGGAAGCTCCAACCGTACGTGGGAGTTGGGAATACCAGAGAGCGCGACTTGAATCATCCAGCGTTGAAGGAGATGCAGGAATTGCGCCCCGAGTCGGAGACTGTACTTCTCTCGTCCACACCCGGCCAATGCCCGAAATGCAAAAAAAAGGATTTGGTGATCCAGCCAGACAAAAGCAGAGGCCGCAGGGGGAACAAATGGGAAGAACGGGACGCGGCTTCTGCTTCGCAGGATTTTCGTTTCCGAATCTACACTCTCGGCGCAGGGGTCAAATATTGTAGATTCCGCGGGGGGCACTGTCCATCCTGCAAGTGCCTACGTCGTCGGCAATTGGATGTGCAAAAAGAATGCGGGCGTCCACGGTCGCGCAAACTCCGGCAAGATGTCTGGCATCGCCGCCGTGCCCACGCAGGCGGCCTTGCCATACTTTGCGGTGGCCCGGGAGAAAGCGCGGCACGCGGTGGACCTGCAGCTGTTGCGGTTCGGAACTGCTGACTTGCAACACAGCGGCGGCACGTTCACATCTGCCATCCACGCGCGGGCCAAGCAGCACCCAGGGCGTGAGCAGCAACACCTCATCCTGGGCGACTTCACGACACAGACAGACCACGCGCGTGTGCGTCTGGAGGACGCCTGGTACATGCACAACGCAATTCGTTTGGCAGGAGCCAACGTTGGGAGTTGTGAGTGGTCTTTCTCGGAGAGCGGCATAGAGCGCGCCCTTGCGAATATTGTGGCATGCGTGCGAAGGGCGCACCTGGCGCGCATCGCGGCGCACGTGCGGACGTGTCCGAAATGCGTTGACAAGCTCGTGGCGTTGCTAGATGGCAAGCGCGGCGCCCGCCGATTCATCTGCGGCGGCTTGGAAGACTATGGACCCATGGAGGGCCTGGACTTGGACTTGTACGTTGGCTGCCAGCGGAATGCCCCCCCACGAGACAATGATTTTGCAAGTTCTGCCGCCCGTCAAAGATAGAACAAGCGCACTTTGATACCCCAGGAGGAGATCTTGGGCGTCGCTCCTCCCGGACCGGCCGCTGACGGCGTCTCCGCGCTGCGGTGCGCGATGAGCTGCTACGACCCCCATTTGCCGGGGCGCCCCTTCGACGCGCACTTGCCGGGAGCCGAGGTGGACAAGGACTTGCTGGCGAAGTTCGAGAAGTCGTTGCTTCGGAGCTGGGGCGGTCGCGGCGACATGAAGTCGCGCCCGGCGTGGATCAAGGGAAGCCGGCAACTTGCGCGCTGGCTGAGGAAACAGACGCCGGCGTGTGGGCCGCCCAGATTGGTCGCTGCGAGCAATGGCGCAAGCGCTCAGGGTGGGGCAAAGAAAGTTCGGCGCGGCCCTGCTTCTCGGGCGCCAGCCCGGAAGGCGGCCCAGGCGGGCAGAGGCCGCAGGGGCGAGGCCGCGGGCATTTCGCGCCGATCAGGAAGAGGGAGTGCTGGCGGGGCTGCGGCCGCCAGCCAGGTCGAAGAAGCGGCCGGCGGCGGCCGACGTGGGCAGCAGCGCAAGCAGCGCCCGCTCATTGAGGAGCCGCTGCAAGGGATGGCTTGCTCTGGACAGCAAGCAGGAGGAAGCTATCCAGGCGCGCGGCGTCGACGAACTCCAGGGAAGCAACGAAGTCAGACGCTGCGCTGGAGGCATGGTGACAGCAGTGACATCGCGCGGCATGCTGGTGGACTGGGTGGAGCTCTTCCGGGGCGAGTCCATCGAGCTGCTGCATGCGTTCGCGCTGCGGCTTCACAAGGACGGATGGCGACGCCCGAGGTTCTGCTCATGTCACGGGCCCCCCCAATTCGGCCAGCGTGGAGGGAGGGATCGAAGGGTCGAGGGATCGCGAAAGGGCGCACCAGGGGGATGGAGAGGCGGAAATGGATGGGAGGGAGAGGAAGGAAAGGAGGGGGGGGGGGCGGGGGGGAGATGGGCGAGGGGGGGGAAAGGGAAGAGAGATGGAGGAATGAAAACATACATGCATGAATGCATCTCTTTTCTCGAGTGGGCGGGGCGCGGGCTGAGCAGGGCGCGCTGGCGCCGGCGTCGACCGGGCAGGATGGCCGCGAGCTGGGCTTCGTCAACGCGGCCCTGGGATGCGACAGGGCGCGCAAGCTTCTGCCATTTGCCCGGGCGAAAGAAACATGCTATCTACCATGGGCGAAATCTTTCGCGGAGGAAGTGCGGATGGTGTTGGGCAGGTTCCACCGGGACAACCGCGCTTGGTGTTTGAACAACATGCCAGGAGTGGACCCCCTGAGGCCAGATAATGCCAAGCTGTTGGAGAAGAAAAACACGGAGGCACGTGGGCAATTGAACTCTTGGATCAGCGGCAGGACACGGAATGGCCCGGAGATGACGCGGGGGCACTTCTGAATGCATTGGCGGTCCCTTTTTGACGCCCACAACCAATGGCTCGAGCGAGAAGCGGCACGCGAGCGCAGACGTGGCGAGGCGGGGCCCATGCAGCGCCAGACGAGTGGAGCACCTCAAGATGCGGGGACAGCTAGCAAGTAGGCGCCTAGGCCCGCACTGACACGGCGTGGCCAAGTGCATTGCGTGGACTTTGTGCATGCCAGCTGGTTTTACCTTCGACCCTTTTGGAGCGCGTGGCGCTCCGGACTGGAAATGTAGAGTTGCAGGTGCGTCGAGAGCAACAAAAAAACATCAGAATGAGCATCGCTGTTATCGCACGCATAGCTGACACCGCGCAGCCTGCATCGCATAGCTTGCACCACATGGCTTGCATCGCATAGCTCACGCCACGCACATAGCGCACAATACTTAGCCACCTTGCCTACGCTACGCAATATCGACTATACCACATAGCTTACTCCGCTGATCTTACACCACTAGCAATGCAAACAGAAGCAACTAGCACTGCCCGCCTTGGCGTCGACGCCACTAGCAGTGCAAACAAAAGCACGCGCATCGCCGCCATCGCCGAAGATCCCAACAGCAGCAGCAGTATCAAACTGTCGCGGAACTCCCAGGGGGCGCTGCACGGCGCCGCGCGCCCAAGAAATTTCAGTGTGAACGACAATAGCTACCATGCACCGGCTCGCGCTCAGTGTGATGTTCGGCTTGGCCTTCAGCGGGGTCTACGTTGCAGCGACTCCGAAGGCCCGCTTGTTACAAGACCCCGCATTGACGAAATGAAAGATTCGGACTATATACCGGATCATGGAGAACCAAAACCCATTCCCCGAGCAGGCAGCGCGGCGGGCAACGCCGCTCATGTGGGCTGTGGCCTCGGCACTGGGCAAGGCGACCTCTCTGCGCGCGTCGTGCGTGCACGTCCACCTCGCGATTCTGGTGGCCACAACTCTCGGGGCAGTTCAGCTAAAGTACGGTGGAATCTTATCCCGACAATGCAATCTGCTCATGATCCAGCATGGCCCACCTGGGGATGGAAAGTCTGTTGCACTGTGGTTGGACGTGCAAGTGCTGGCCTTCTTCGACATGATACGGGAAAGGCGAGCCAAGAAAACATACGAAGAGGCCGAGCAGAAACACAAGGAGGACCCAGATAACAATCCACAGCCGGCGAAACAAAAACATGCTAAAGACACCATCTTCAACAAAGGGACGTTCATCGGCCTCGGGAACTTCATGCAGGCGCAGGGGGAGACCGCATTTCTTGTGCTACACGAGGGGAAAACATGGCCACCCCAGACCTTCGACAACGGCCCAGGCGGCGGCATCGACGACCTCAACCAAATTCACTATCATGACACGTACAAGAACCATCCTGGGAATGCCCAGAATCGTTTTCCCGCATTTGTGCGGAACGTTCACGATGTACGTCGAAAAATGTACGACCAGGCGCAGAAGCCCGACACCACCGCGGGCATTCTGCGTTTCCTGATCGGCTCTCACGAGGACACGGTGGGGGGTGATCACTCTGTTGCAGACAGGCCCCGCTTCGAATGCCAATCCTGCCCGTATCGCCAGATCGCAGGATCACCGGGTCGCCGGGTCGCTAGATGCTGGGTCGCCAGGTCGCCGGGTCGCCGGGTCGCCGGGTCGCCGCGTCGCCGGGTCGCCGGGTCGCCGGGTCGCCGGGACGCCGGGTCGCCGGGTCGCCGGGTCGCCGGGTCGCCGGGTCGCCGGGTCGCCGGGTCGCCGGATCGCCGGATCGCCGGATCGCTGGGTCGCCGGGTCGCCGGGACGCCGGGGCCCGGGTCGCCGGGTCGCCGCGGGTCGCCGGGAGGCCGGGTCGCCAGGTTGCCGGCCGGGTCGCCCGGTCGCCGGGTCGCCGGGTCGCCAGGTCGCCGGATCGCCGGATCGCCGGATCGCCGGGTCGCCGGGTCGCAGGGTTGCCGGGTAGCCGGGATGCTGGGTTGCCGGGTCCGGTCGCCGGGTCGCCGGGTTGCTGTGGCCGCGTCGCCGGGTCGCTGGGTCGCCGGGGCGCCGGGTCGCCCGGTCGCCGGGTCGCCGGGATGCCGGGTCGCCGGGTCGCCGGGTCGCCGGGTCGCCGGGATACGGGGTCACCGGGACGCTGGGACGCCGGGTCGCCGGGTCGCCGGGGCGCCGGGTCGCCGGGTCGCCGGGTCGCCGGGTCGCCGGGTCGCTGCATGGGTCGCCGGGAGGCCGGGTCGCCGGGTCGCCGGGACGCCGGGTCGCCGGGTCGCCGGGTCGCCGGGTCGCCGGGGCGCCGGGTCGCCGGGTCGCCGGGTCGCCGGGTCGCCGGGTCGCCGGGTCGCCGCCGGGTCGCCGGCCCTTGTGGAGTTCTCTCTGAACGGTCTCGTTGCAGGAGGGACCCGACCACAAGACACGTTCCACAAGAAACCCAACCCTGAGACCCCAGGACGCCCATCGATTTTTGGTGTGGGAACGTCACGCTCTCCATGGCAACACCATCGAAACCATCGAAACCCAGGGCACCCTGGAGGCAAGCAGGGTGTTCCTTGGCATGGGCCCCCACTGTACGCCACGCCCGACCCCCCCGCCGATCCGGTCATGACCCGAGCGCGCGGCTGCAGCGGGCCACTCCTCGGGGTGGTCCGCCCTGGGGCCTGCGGTGCCGCGCGGGCGGGCCCCGCGGTCGCACCCTGTGCCGCGCGGGGCTCCAGCCGTGCGGCGCGCGGCTCCGGCCGTGCGGCGCGCGGCCCTGGGCACCGACGAGCCGTCGTGGAACCACGCAGTTAAGATCGATAGTGAGGACGCAGGGCGAGGGTGCAGGGCCCCTGGACCATCCAGATTGGACGCCCCTGGATGTCGAAGCTGGCCGAGGACTGGCCGAGGAGGCAGGGATGCCGGGGTCGGGGATCTACTGACCCGGATCGATCCAGACCCGGGCCAGTCAGGCTTTGCAAGATCCTGCAGGATCCTGCACCCAAACCCGGGTCAAAGCGCCCATGGCTCCGCAGGATCCTGCAAGATCCGGCGCTCTGGCTGACCCTGTTTGCATTGACCCAAATCCTTTGAGCTCCGAAAAGGGTGCCCTTGCGGGAGCACCGCGTCCGCACCATGGATTTCTGCTGTGTGCGAGCCTTCGTCTACGACATGATTGCAGTCGAAGCATGTCCACAAGAGGCAGGCGTCCAGAGCGTGAGCCCCTTCGCCAAGGGCCCGAGGCCAAGTGGGCGACGAGCAAAAACAGGCCTCACGCGAGATGAGAAGCGACCTTACGCGGTGGCTGAAGCGGGCCGCCAGCGCGGCACGCTACGCTGGAAGCGAGGGTGCTCACGCGCGACCTCACGCGAGCAGCTTACGCGCCAATGTCGGCGAAAACGACCCCGTTCTCCTGCGTTTCTATATTGGCGAAAAAACCGAGCGAAGAGCGCTCCAAGGTGGTGAATGCAACCACGAAGAACACAAGGGTACGTTCCCCTCCCAAGCTGAGGTTGTTCGTGACCATTGTGTCATCTGAATGGTACGATGCCCGATGATTCATGTTGTGCCCCCAGCGCGATGTTTCGGGAGGAGGAAAGCGGAGGGAATACCGCGAGGCGAACACTCAATCATCGTTTACCCAACGATGGATAAGCCAGACGATTTCGAAATGCAGAGCCCTTTTATGTTCAATGACTGTTCGCGCACTGCTGCTCGGGCGTGGATCCGATATCATTCATTTTTGTGATAAGGCGGTGTCGAGCGTCAATCGGACGGTGGTCCGGATCGAGAGCAACCCAGCATTCGAAATTATGAGCCTGATGCAGGGTTGGAGCATACGACACGGGACTATATACCAATCTTACATAGGAACACATGGTTTGGATCTGAATACGCCTGCAATCGATTGACAGACTGCGAGACGAGAGCAGCATGAACCACATTGCGAGCTCATGGCATGCAGGCCGGGCGGGGGTGTTTTTTTGTGCCTCTTCTGCGAGACATTATCATACTCGGGAGCCGCAGCTCTTCGGCACAACCCCAGATGGGGGGAGGGCGGCCAACTGGGGTGAGAGATCCATTTTTTCTCCAACCGTGGCAGATTTCCGAGACGCCTGCTCACCGTGGGTAGAAGAACAACAACAACAACAACAACAATTGCATAAACAGAAAGCCTCGGATCTCCGCGCAGATTTCTTGGATCGGCGTTGGGCCCCCCTCCCCGGCGCGTGGAGCGCGCCAGGGGCGGCGCTGTAGGCGCCGCCAGGGGGGCCCAGGCGCCGATCCAAAAAATCCGCGCGGAGCTTCGACAGGTTAGGTTTATACAGTTTTCCCTCATTCGGGTAAAGGGAAGAGCGGGTCTATACATATCCACTGCTCTCTGGCCAGGACCGTCCTTAACCCAGCAACGGTGCATGCTTCCTGGGTTCAAGATGGGCCTGGCAAGGAAGGGAGCAGTCTGTATGGCCGATTCCGGACACCCTGAACCCAGAAACGCTGTCATCTATGAAAGAGCGCATTCTGTGGTCGCTTGGAGGGGGGGGGGGGTTGGAACCGGACCCCCCCCCCCTGGATGGAGGGGCGTAGGGGTTTTCGACCCCCCCCCTCCCGTGACGGAGGGGGGGCGGGGTGTCGACCCCCCCCCCTACCTCTCCTCTTTCCCTGTCCTCGGCTGGCGGCGGCGGCGGCGGCGGGGACGACGATTTCCTTTTCTGGGCCCGCGCCGGCGCCTGCGGCGGCGAGCGGCGGCGGCGGCGGGGAGGGTCGACGAGGACGACGGTGGTGGTGGTGGTGGTGGGTTGTGGTGGTGGTGGTGGTGGTGGCGGTGGCGGTGGTGGCGGTGGTGGTGGTGTGATGGTTGTGGTGGTGGTGTGGTGGTTTGTTGTGGTGGTGGTGGTTGTGGTGGTGGGTGGTGGTGGTGGTGGTGGTGTGGTGGGGGTGGTGGTGGTGGTGGGGGGTGGTGTGTGGGGTGGTGGCGGTGGTTTGTGGAGGTGGTGCTGGTGGTGGTGGCGGCGGTGGTGGTGGTGGTGTGGTGGTTTGTGGTGGTGGTGGATTGTGCTGCTGGTAGCGGTGGTGGTTGCGGCGGTGGTGGTGGTGGCGTGGTGGATTGTGGTGGTGGTGGTGGTAGTGGTGGTGTGTGTGTTTTTTTTTTTGTGGTGGTGGTGGTGGTGGTGGTGATGGTGAGTTGTGGTGGTGGTGGTGGTTGCGGTGGTGGCTGTGGTGGTGGTAGTGGTGGTAGTTGTGTGGTGGGTTGGTGGTGGTGGTGGGTTGGGTGGTGGTGGTGGTGGGTTGAGGCGGTGGTGGTGGTGGTAGTGGTGGTGGTGGTGGTTGTGGTGGTGGTGGTGGTAGTGGTGGTTATCGTCGCTGCGTCCCCGCCGGCGCAAAGGGGGGGGATCAACCCCCCCCTTGGGCTGCCTCTGGTCATCGTCGCTGCGTCCCCGCCGTCGGCGCTGCTGGCGGCCGCTGGCGCCTGCGCGGGGGGGGGGGTTGAAACCCCCCACCCCCCTTGGGAGGGGGGGGGGGGGGTATGGGAGGGAGGGGAGTCCCCCTGCTTTTGATCGACGGCGCCGAGTGTTGGGGGGGGGCCCACCCCCCAGTTCGAAACGCGCCGCCGAATGTTCCCAAGGCAAGCGCCCGTGAAACCCGTTCTCTCTCATCTATTAAGGGCGCATCTTTTACTGTCGCCGCCTTCCGCCGACCCTCCGCCGGTTTCCGCCCGCGGAGGCAGCCTCGTTTTACTTCCGCCAGCCTTCCGCCGCGTTCCGCCAAGGAAGAGATGGCAACTCCCTCGATCCTCGAAGGCATCGATTTCGTCGCCCGAGGGGCAGAGGACCAACCCGCCGGGCCAGAAATCGGACGGACCGAGGCAGCCGAGAGCGTAAGCACATCAGGTCGCGGCTCCTTCTGCTCCCGCTCCTCGTCCCCCCCCGATCTGCATCCTCCCGCGCCGCCCTGCTGCTCCTCCTCCGCCTCCGTCCCTCTTCCTCCAAAGGGGTGGTGGTGGGCCCCCTCCTCATCGTTCCCGCCCACCTCCTCCTCATCCTCGCCCTCGTCGTCGCCGCCGTCGTCGTCCTCCTCCTCCTCTTCCTCCTCCTCCTCCATCCATTTTCCTTATACATGACTCATCCCTGTCGCACCCCCAGACGTGTCGGTAGGGCGGGCCGGGCGTTCCGCCTGAGACGTCCTCACCATTAATGATCCTGACGCTTGTCACCGGGCCGTTTTCGAAATATGGCTCTCGCCTTAGCGCCACGCGCATTCGTGTTGAATGCGTGCAGCAGTTTGAACGATGGAGGGTTTTTTTTTGTTTTTTTCTTCTTCTTCTTCTTTCTTTTTTTATGTCTGGTTATCGCCTCAGCACTACGCACATTCGTCTTAAACGAAATGCGCAAATTCAAAGATGGAGGGCGGATGGTTTTCAAAATGTGACTCTCGCCTTAGCCCCACCCACATTCGTTTTAAAAGCTTGCAGAAAGTTTAATGGTGCAGGGCTGGTCGTTTTCAAAATAAGGCTCTCGCCTTAGCGACGCGCACATTCGTTTCAAAAGTTTGCGACCGTGTCACGGATGGAGGACGGCTCCTTTTCAAAATGCAATTAACCACTTTAACGCCGCGCACATCGCACATTCGTCTTAGACAAATAAAGCAGTGTCAAGGATTCGTATGGTTGAAATCCTAGAAGTGGTGCTCTGGCACGAATCAGGGTTGTTAGGGTGCAACAGTCACGTTGATTCGCAGTGTTGAAATCCCAGGAATGGTGTTATGGTGTTATGGCACGATTTCGGACTGCCAAGGCGCAAAGGTCACGTTGATTCGTGGCGTTGAAGTCCCACGAACGGTGCTATGGAACGATGATGGATTCTCAGACGGTTGTCTTCCAAGTCTTCCAATGGAGCCCCTCCCGCAATACGAATACCTTCGTGCAGGGACCTATGAAGAGGGAGCTTGGAGGTAGGGTTTGTTACAACACCGTTGATGCGTCTTGGGTTTACACGGGTCCTCCTCCTCCTCCTCCTCCTCCCTTTCTAGAGCCACCCCTTCTAGAGCCACCGTGCTGCCAGAAGGGGCGCTGCAAAGGAGCGGAGGGACTTCTCTGGCCTCGACGAGCCTCGGCCACGAACAGGCTCCCCGACCCAGGTTGAACAGCCGGCCCGAAAAACCGGAGCACCTCCCGAGACCGAAATGCCAGAGGCTTCGAAACAAATCAGCGAACGCTCACGCCACACTCCTCTGCCAATGCCCCCCCAATGATCAATGCTGGCGGTGGGTTGAACGAGTTGCATTTTGACCGCAGTCTCCCCCGCGCGTGCCAACTTGGAATTTGGGGGAGAGGGTTGCGCGACGAGAAGGAAGGGGTCTTATGGAAGATGGCGTAGCAACCGTGAGCCGCGGTTTACGCGGGCCGCTGGCGCGGCACGCCACATTGGAGACGAGGGCGCTTACGCGCGACCTTAAAGAGCAGCTTACGCGCGAATGTCGGTGAAGACGCCCCCGTTTTTTTGGCGTCGCTCAGTTTCGACGGCGAGCCTGGGGGGGAAGTGAGAAGGGGCGGGCTTTCTCAGAAAAGGCTCTGAAGTCCCCCAGCCTTCTGGGAAGTTTTCTGAGCACTCCCCGAGAACACAACAACTTCTCAAAGGCACGAGGTCTCCTGAGAAGTCCCGCCGCCTTCTGAGAAGGCATTCTCTTTATCACTTCCCCCCTCGCTCTGGGCCTACTCTCCTCCTGCTCCTCCTCCTCCTCCTCCTCCTCCTCCTTCTCCTCCACCTCCTACTCTTCCTCGCTCACCGCCGACAATTGCCTCCCTCTACCGCATCTCAATGCGGGCGCGCGCGCAGGGGTGCTCCTGCCGCGCCAGCGGCGCCGCAGCCCAGGTGCGGCCCGCGCAACTCCAGGCGGCCGTCGGAGGCGGAAAACAGAAGGCGGCCCGACGCGCGGTCCACCTGTGGGGGACCTACAAGACTCGTCAAACATTCATTGACGGCTATTGATTACGGCGCTTGCGCGGTCAGCGCTACCTCAGTGTTGGCATGAAGTTGTTGGCCCACACGCACTGGTGTCCGAAATCGGGCAATGCCCCCACAGCATTGAAGAACGCGTTTTCTGACAAGCGCCCCAACTATCGGGCGCTTCGACTTTGAACGGCGTCTCAATTTATTTCTGACGCGGTTTGTAGGACAGAAGAACATCGTTCAGAAACACGGAACCCTCCGCCGGCCAAAACACACAGAACAGCCAAGAAATTCCCCCCCAGGATACACACAAGCGGGGCTCGAGCTAAACAGCGTGTTTCGTTTTCGTTTTGTCTTCGTTCTCCCTTTGCTCTGGATTCGTTTTGTCTTTGCTGCTGAACGAAATTAAAACGAAACTGGTCCACGAACTCGCCAAAACACAGTTTAGCTCGAACCCTGCGCAAGAGCATCCAGCAAGCACGAAAAACATCGGGGTACACTCCCCGAAGCGATTCCGATCTCATACCTCGAGCCGACTGGACACATCACCTGCCCAAGGCCTGGCCGATCTTGGGCCCAGGAACGATGATATGCCTCCCTAGCCAAGCTAGGAGGGCGTGTACAATGGAGGCTCGACCACAAGAAACCTTCCACAAGAAACCCAACCCTGAGACCCCAGGACGTCCATGGATTCTTGGCGTGGGAACGTCACGCCTTCCATCGCAAAACCAGCGACACCCGAGAAACTCAGGGCACCCTGGGGGCAAGCAGGGTGTTTCTTGGCATGGGTCTCCGCTGGAGGACCTGCCCAAGGCCTGGCCCAGATTTGGGGCCAAGGAGCGATGCAGATGCCTCCTCAGCCAAGCCCGGAGGGCGTGCAGACCGCATCTGGGCCCAGGATGGGCCCAGGGCGTGCATGGGCGTGCATACCGCTCCTGGGCCCAGGATGGGCCCAGGCATAGGGGCGGTGGATCTGTATACAGTGGGGGGCCCGACCACAAGAGACCCAACCCTGAGACCCCAGGACGTCCATGGACGTTTGGCGTGGGAGCGTCACGCCTTCCATCGCAAAACCATCGACACCCGCGAAACCCAGGGCACCCTGGGGGCAAGCAGGGTGCTTCTTGGCATGGGCCCACAGTGTACCTCGTGTCGCCCTACTTTGGTTGCCATCGTTCGGACGTCCATTCCACGCGCGCGTGTCGGCGTCGTATGCTCGTGAAAGCTCGCACGATGATCCAGGATGGTCCAGGTCTTCTGGCGCTGGCCTCGATGAGAAAAAGGGGGCACACGTCCGAGCGAGGCCTAAGGAACGGAAAGGAACGGCACGCCCTGACGGAGAGAGCCCAGAGCGCTCGAACGCTCGAACTACTGGCCTCGACGAAGGGACTTCTTCGGAGCGGGTTCCCTCTACAAGTGCCGCCGTGCTCTGCCCATGGGAGAGGGCCGAAAAAGAAGCACCCACCACTACCGGAGAGTCGGACACTGCCGAAAGGCCCGACACGCGCTCGGCAATGGCGAGCACGATCGGGGGAGATGCGAGCCTGGCAATGGGGGACAATACGAGAGAATAAATAGTTAGCCTTACAGGTGTCGGAAAAACAACACTCATGCAGAACATATGGTTTGACCCCCCTCTTCAGATCTTCCGAACGTGGGTCTCCGAGTGGTATTCAAGGAACGTGCCAACTTTGAATTGTGGGGGAGGGGGGGATGTTGCTTAGTGTCTTCCCTCAACTGTACGGTTAGGCGGCTTACCCTGACCAAATGGGGTTAAGACTTACGGGCCCTCCTCCCAGAAACTCAAGTCAGGGTGGGTAATGAATGGAGCATGGATTTGGTAGAGGCTTCTCAAACGGGGCCGGGGGAAGAACCGGTTGCGCTGCTCGAAAAGCGCCACGAAGGATAACCTCGGCGACCGTTGTGTGGCGGTCCCCACTTGTGATACGCAACGCGTGCAATTACGTAAGTATGTGATGTACTCCCACAGATATGTAGATAGCGTAACTAGAGAATAGAAGACACCAGCCCAAAGAAGACCTGAAGTACAACTTAAACCAATTGAAGCCACATGTGATCCAAATGATAACCATTGAGAACGGTTATCAACCATGGTCGGAAGAATTCGGTGCCTGTGGTTTCTTGTGCCTGTGGTACAGCGCACGCTGCCGCATGCTTGCCTAGCCAACACCATTTTTGTCCATCTGGTCGTGGTCGTCCTGGCGAGGTCCTCTGTCGGCCAGCCAAGCCGGCGGGTGAGGTCAGCCGACGGTATCGCGATACCCTGCCGCAGGTCGGCGCTGGCTGTGCACACCCAGTACATGTGGTCGAGCGTCGGGAAGCGCTGCTCTCCGCAGTGGTCGCAGGTGGTCGAGACCTCCTCGCCTTGGTTGGACTGCAGCAGGGCGTCCGAGACCACACAGCCGCAGAGGGCGGCAGCGATGTGTGAGGCGAGGATTGGGTTAGCTTTCTGTGCTTCCCGTGCCGCGCGCGCGGCAGCAGCTGGGAAGGGCACTCCAGCCGCCATGGGGCTCTCCCGCCGGCTCTGGCCCTGTAGGATTGCCCATTCCTGTGATCGGAGTATGAGTCGTAGCTCGTGGAGCTGTCGGTCTGTTCTGTCGGTGAGTCGAAGCTCTCCCGCCGGGCCTCTCCAGAAGCCGGCGTCGCTGCGCTCAGCTCCAAGTGATTTCAAGTGCGTTCGGTAGGCATAGAGTGGCCCCCACGTGTCGGTCTTGATCGTGATCTTGTCCCAAAGCGGAAGTGCTCCAGGCCCCTGTCGACGTAGTCTGCAGCTCAGAAGTTGTAGTGCTCGCCGGCACAAGTGGTACCATAGGTCGGTGCTGTGCCCCAGTACTACTAGTCGAAGCTCGGGAGCTTCCCGGGGCATTTTTCCGCAGGGTCACAGCCTTTCGTGCTTGTTGTAGATGGTCCTGGACAGCTTCTTTTGTCGGTGGCGTCACCACTAGTGCCCAGCTCGACACCGGCAACGCGATGGTGCTCACCGCGATCGTGCGCAGCCGCATGCTCAGGGGCAGGCGCGCAATCCGCTTCATGCGCGCAAGTGCCTCCTCAAGCTTGCCTCGCTCTCGGGTCGTGAGCGTCGTGCGTTGCATCGTAAAGTCGATTCCAAAACATTTCATTTTCTTGCTCTGCAGGTGGTGGTTGTCACACTGGTGCGGTAGTATCGTGAAGGATTGCGTCTTGCTGTCGTTGGTGCGCAGCGTGGTGACCGACTCCACTAGCTCCCACTCCTCCTCGATGCTCCGTAGTTTTTCTGCCTCTGTCGTGGCCGCCGTGCGGTCCTCCGCGAAGGTGCAAAATGTTGCTCGTGGGTGTGTAGCAGCTTGCCGTCGTAGTGGCCCCATGAGCAAGGTGGCCATCCCGAGCATGGCTGCCGGATCCCCTTGTGGCAGACTGTCTTCAACCAGAATTGTCCGTGGTGATACGGGCCGACCTCAACCCACCTCTCCTGCTTGCTCCAGATCGCTTCGATACTTTTGGTGATTCTGGACGGTACTCCAAGTCGCGACCAGACCTCGCAGACGACCTGGGGGGAAGCCCTGTCGAATGCGGAGGCATAATCCCACGACTTGACGTGCAGCTCCGTTTGACGCTCCCGAACCAGCCGCTGCTCCTCCTCGGTCAGCGAGCCGTCCTCGTCGTCGTACCTGTTCGCCGCGATGGTCCCCTCAATGAGCGAGAGGCATAGCTCGATGAGGGATTCGAGGGTTCGCCCTTTGAGTCCGCCCCCCTGCGTGGGCAGGAAACCTGGACTGAGGTAGGTGGCCAGTTGGTCTGCCCTCCATCTGTGCCAGGCGCGGACCACGGCGCTCGCGATTGCGATAGGGCGTAGTCGGGTCAGGCTCGGGAGTGCTGTGTCTTGGTCTTTTGATAGGTGGACCTGGCGCCACTGCAGGAATTGCGTCGGCCATCCGTGGTACTCAGAGTAGGTGCAGAGGTCAACCAGCTCTTCCAGTGCCTCCTCCGGGAGAAGCATGAGCTCCGAGGGCGCCCATTGGTCTGGCCCTGCTGCTGTGCCTCCGAGTAGCATGTGGCGGAATTGCGATGCCGCCGGTGGCGCCCAGTGGTCCCAGCAGCCAAGGGCTGCCATGGCGTGTCGTGCTCTGTGGTCGTGCTGCTCCTGTGCTCGTTGAACATCTTGGCGTGCCTCCTCAATGTAGTCGTCGTAGTGGTAGAAACACCCGTCCACATCGTTGCCACGTCCGCATTCCGTGAAGTGCTGCTCATAGTGGTCTCGTATTCTGGTGTCGGAGTAGATGGTGTCGGAGGATCGCACCGCATCGCCGATGCGTCGGAGTTGCATTGGCGATGCACTGGCGATGATGCACCAGCAACGTCGGCGATACATCGGCGCCACCAGCGCAGAGAGAATCGGGCTCCACTCCACATAGAGCCGCATCGCCGATGCACCGATGATGCGGCGCGATCCACCGACCCCTTCTGCTTCGACCACATGTCAAAAGGCCTACATCTGTCTGGATTCGAGGACCGAGTCTGGAGAAGATCGGTGAAACACGAGTCAGACGTCATGATCTTCCAACGGTTGTCTCCCAACGGGGCACTTCCATAATTGGACATGAACCCTTATAGGGGCCTCGTCCTCGTCCTCCTCTTCCTCCTCCTCCTATTCCCTCCTCCCCCCCCTCCTCCTCCTCCTCCTCCTCCTCCTGCTCCTCCTCCTCCTCCTCCTCCTCCTCCTCCTGCTCCTCCTCCTCCTCCTCCTCCTCCTCCTCACGCCTCCAGATTTTGTCCTCATAGTAACTCATTGTTGTCGCACCCTGAGCCTTGTCGGCAGGGCGGGCCGGCGTTTCGCGCCCTTTCGCGGATGGATGGCGGGTGTTTTCAAAATGTGGTTCTCGCCCTAGCGCCACACGCACTCGTCTTAACAATTGCAAGAGCTTCGCGGATGGAGGGCGGGCCGTCTTCAAAATGCGGTTTCCGCCCGAGCACCGCGCGCTCTGAACTCGACATGTTGCAGCAGCTTCACGCATGGAGGGCGGACCGTTTTCAGAACGTGGTTTTCGCTTCAGCACAGCGCACGCATGGATGAAGGGCAGGCCGTTTTTCAAAATGTGGCTCTCGCCTCCGCGCCACGCGCATTCGTCCTAAAAGTGTGTGCAGACGTCTCACGGATGGAAGGCGGTACCTTTTCAAAATGTGGTTGTCGCGTTAGTACGAGTATACAATGGTTCTAACGGTATCAATGCGCAACAATTACGTGGATTCGCGGTGCTGAAATTCCAAAAATGGCGCTGCTGCAGAATTCAGGATCTTCCGGACGCGACAATAACGTTGATTCGCGGCGTTGGAATTCCAGGAAAAATGTTTCGGCACGGCTCACGATTTTCTGACGGTCGTCTTCCGGCACTTGTTGCAATGATAATGAACCGCTATAGTGACCTACGCAAAGGGAGCCTGGAAGGAGGGTTTATTGCAACGCCGCTGATGAGCCTTGGGTTTACACTGGTCGTTCGACCTCATCTTCCTCCCTCTTTGCTCCCCTCTGCGCCGCCTCGAAAGACAGGACGCAGCCCGGCGCGGGGTCCACGGTCCACAGTGGCCGCAGTTCCTGCGGGCCGCGCGGCGCAGAAATCCACAGAACGGCAGGGCCAGCCCCGCAGGCTTGCTGGGGCGTTCGTAATGCGGGGGCCGGACGATAATTGGGGAGGGCGGTAAACAAGCCCCTTTCGTGCCTTTTCTGGGCCCCAGGGGGCCTTTTTTCAGACAGGCAGGAAAGTTGGTGCAATTGTTGTGGATGTCACGACAATGGACACCCTAACAATCCTATCTATAATGTGTACAACATGTTCTAAACATGTTTCAAACATGTCTTTTCATCATACTTAAAACATGTTTGAAATATTTGTTTAGACATCTGGAAAGTATTTGATGGGCTCAGCGCCAGGCACCCTAAAACGAATGCACGGGCCCGCGCCGACGTTGGCAAGGGTCCCCGCACGGGAGTGTCACCCTCGCCTCGGGCGTCGGATCGGGGCACGGATCCGCTACGGATCTTGTGCGGATCCGATGCTTGCTGGACGGATCAGATTCGAACTCGATGCGTTCTGGACGGATCTGAGTGATGGGATAACACGGTGTTTGGCACGGATCCTGTCGGACCACAGCACACTAGTACAATATTACACAAGGGCAACGAAGGACTCCGAGGGCGACTTGCGCAGGGGCACGAAGCAGGCGCCTCATAGAATTTTGCAAGGGCGCTCTTTCTGGAACTTTACGCAGGCGGTTCCTTCTAAGACTTTCCCCTGCCGGCTCCTTCTAAAACTTCGCTGAAATGCTGCTCTGGGTTCCGACGTTTTGGCCGTCGCGCGTTGTGATCAGTGGACCTCGCCGTCGCTGGCGTCGTCGTCGTCGTCGTCGTCGTCGTCGCCGCCGCCGCCGCCGCCGCCGTTGCTGACGTCGCTGTCGTCGTCGTCGTCGTCGTCGTCGTCGCCTTTACCGCCGCTACCCCACTCGTTGTCCGTCGCGGTCGCCACCGCCGTCGTCGCATTCGCCATCGCCGTCGTCGCCGCCGTCGTTGCAGTCTCTCCACTGATCAGCGCATTGCTGGTCCCGGTATTTTCCCAGCCACCGTCCAGTAACTGATTGGCGCTGCGGCGCCGCTTTCTTGGCGAACGTCGCGGGCTCTACTTCTTCAGACGGAGCCTGTCGTTCTCCTTCAGCAGCTTCATGCGCGTGGGCAGCCCTTTGCAGAGACCATCGACATCACATTCCAGATTCACCTCTTCGCAGCAGCGCTTCAGTCAGCGCCCGTACACATCGCGCGACTCTTGCCAACACTTCGGAGGTGTTTCGTGACAGCCTGTGTCGCAGCCAAGATACCGCTCTCATCCAACATGACGCTTTGCAAACTCTGGCAAAGTGACCAGAGAGCGAGGCCCCGAAGGATTGACGACCCCAGAGGAGGGCGCGGCCCCAAGAAAATTGGCAATCCCAAGAGGGTTGGCAACCGCCCAGAGGACTGGCAATCCGCAGAGGATTGGCAATCCCCAAAGGATTGCCAACCCCTGGAGGATTGGCAATCCCCAGAGGATTGCCAACCCCCAGGGGATTGGCAACCCCCGGAAGATTGGCAATCCCCAGAGGATTGGCAATCCCCAGGGGATTGGCAACCCCCAGAGGATTGGCAATCCTCATGCAAACTCCCAGGCTGCCGGACAGCAGCCTCCAGCCCGGCCACCTCGCGCGTGGCAGCCCCTCCCCCAACGCACACGTGGGAGCGCCCCAGCGTGCCTGGGCGCGCTCGCGCCCGTGCAGCTTCTTTAAAGGGGCCCCAGGACACACAAATACATACACACAAATAAAAAGATTCCCCCATATTTTCCTATATTTTCTGGGTTTTTGTCTTCCCCCCCACTTCCCATATTTTCCCATATTTTCCTGGGGATCGTCGATTAATTGTGTCTGTGTGTTTTTTCCCCTTCTGATTTTTGAGGTTCAGACCCTGGTCATGCGCTGAGTCAGTCACGCTTCCAGTCAAGGCAAACTGCACCAGCTCTACCTGACTGCCTGCTAGGGCCCTGTTTTTGGATCCAAAAAGTGCACCTTTCTTCCCCCCCCCGCACACTCTCGCACCCCAATTGCTCGACGCCCGACCGGCCGCGCCGCGTCGGGGTCCGGGCTGCATCCGCACTGGCTGCGAGGGCGCAGTCGCCTTCCGCGCCCGGGGGCCGCCCCTCGCAGCCCTCTTTGACCAGGACTTGTCTCGGACACTGGGTGCAGTTCGGCAGCGCTGTTGTCCTCGGCGGACTCAAGCTGAATCCCAAAACAGGCTGCGGAACGGGAGGCAGAGACTTGAGTCTTTTTCGTGGACGGAAAGTTTTTCTTGGCGCCACTGTGCCCAAAACTTGCACAGCGCAGTCTGCTAGCGGCTCCTTCTCTGTTCCTCTGCTCCTCTACATCCTCTTCCCCCTGGTGCTGCTGCTGCTGCTGCTCCTCCTCCTCCTCCCTCCTCCTTCGCCTCCTCCCCCTCCCCCTCCGTCCATGACGGGATCAAACCTACCTCTGTAGTATACGGGGGGTCTCGCAAATTCCTGGCCGCTAGAGGTTCCCAGAGGATTCCTATTGGACACTGCCGAACGACCAGCCAGGAGTGCCCAGAAGCCTCGAAGACGGCCCCAGGAGGCTCCGAAGGAAGCCTCAGGAGCTCAAGATGGCCCGAAGATATCTCCAAGACGGCCCAAGAGGACCCCAAAACGCCCCCGAGGGAGCAGATGGGTCTGCTCGCCGTCGAACCAGCAAATTAATAGGAAATTTTGGAGATGAGATGGAAGTGGAACGGAGAGCCCCCCACCAGGAAATCGCTTTCGGTTTGGCATTCGTGTAGTGCGTGCGGGCGAGGCGAAACTGCGTGGGCGGGCCAGAAGAATGAACCCTCCTCTGGGTAGGGCGCGGCGAGAACGGAAGTCCGCCCCCCCGGCCGCGTGGCGGGCGGGTGGGGGTGTCCCGCCGTGGTGTCCCGATGATGTCCCGTGGTGACCCGCCGTGGTGGTGTCCAGCTGTGGTGTCCCGCCGTGGTGTCCCGCCGTGGTGTTCGGATAATGTCCCGTGGTGTCCCGTGGTGTCCCGCAATATCCCGCGGTGTCCCGTGGTGTCCCGCCATGTCCCGTGGTGTCCCGCCGTGGTGTCCCGTGGTGTTCCGCCGTAGTGTCCCGATAGAGTCCCGTGGTGTTCCGCGGTGTCCCGTGGTGTCCCGCCATGTCCTGTGAGATCGGTAGTGAGATCGGTAGTGAGATCGATAGTTGAAATCGACAGCAAGATCGATAGTGAGACCGATAGTGAATCGGTCGTGAGGTTGATTATGAGGTCGATTGTGGGGTCGATAGTGAGACCAATAGTGAGAGGAACAGTAGAATCGATAGTGAGATCGATCGAATGAGATCGATAGTTAGATCGCACGTGAGATCGACAGTGATATCGATTGAGTGAGATGTTGGTTTCCCCCCCAGCCTCAATCTCACCAGAAGGGTGGTCGTATAGGTATGGGTCTGCTTGTCGTCGCCCTCATCCATCCCTCCTCGTGATACATTGGTGATCCCTGTCGCACCTCGAGACGTGTCGGTAGGGCGGGCTGGGCGTTTCGTCCGAGACTTCCTGAAAACTTATGACCCTGTGCGAGAGTTTAGCGTTTAGCGGATGGAGGGCGGGTGGCTTTCGAAATGTGGCTCTCGCCTTAGCGCCGCGCGCACTCGACTTAAAAGTTATCGAGAGCTTCATGGATGGAGGTAGGGTCGTTTTCAGAGAAATGTGGCTCTCGCCTTAGCGCCACACGCACATTCGTTTTTGAAGGTAGCAAGAGCTTCACGGATGGAGGGCTGGTAATTTTCACAATGTGGCTCTCACCGTAGCCTCGCACACGTTCTTCTTAAAAGTTTGCCAGAGCTTCACCGATGGAAGGCGGTTCCTTTTCACATGTGGCCATCGCCTTCGCGCCACGCACATTCGTTGCAACCAGTTGAAACAGCTTCACGGATGGAGGGCAGGTGGCTTCTCTCAACATAAGGCTCTCGCCTTAGCGCCGCGTGCATTCGTTGTTGTTTCTTCTTTGTCATATATATACATATATATATACATATATACATATATATATATATATATATGTATACTGAAAAAGAAGCATGTCAAGGATGGAGGACGATTCTTGGTCGAATTGTGGCTCTGGCAGACAGAATCTGAGCCGCCTCCCCCCCTCCTCCTGCTGTCTTCGGTCAAGGTTTTCACCACCGCCTATGTTTGCGGATGCCACGACAATGGACACCCTGGCAGTCCTACATTCGAATTAAGAATGTGTATAAAATGTACGAAAAAGTGAATGGCAATGTTTAAAACATGTTTTTTGAATGTGTAAAACAGCTGTCACACATGTTCTAGACTTCTGGAAAGTATATGGCACCATGCTTCCTCTCCATTGATCGTCCTCCACAAACCTGTGTTCTAGAAGATCCTGGCCGCAACTGCACTAGATGCTGTAGCTCAGTCACCAAAACGAAGCAGTCTTTGTCGCGGGGTATCCCGTGTTTTCACCCTGCCCATGTGAACGGTGAGCTTTTCGGGGTCCCGTCTGGAATTCAGATGCACTTAGCGGGTGGGTGGGTGCATGACGCACAGTGCATGCGGTTACACAACACTTAAGCTCTGGTGTTGCAGCAGCTGCGGTTGTGTCGCTAGCCGGATGATCAAGGGCCTCGGGCAAGAAGGCCCGAGGACAGCGAATTCTAATCGAGCCGAGCACTTGTCCAGGATAGTGGCAGGCAAGTGGCACAAGGCCCTGAGCAAGGCTGAACACGCTCGTCAGGGTTCGTACCTGTAATAATTTCGCTTCGCGACTGGGGTCACTCACTCACTCCCTCTCCTCCTCGTCCTCCTCGTCCTCCTCCTCCTCCTCCTCCTCCTCCTCCTCCTCCTCCTCTTCCTCATCATCATCATCATCATCATCATCATCATCATCCTGCTTCCCCCCCTCCTCCTCCTCCTCCTCCTCCTCGTCCTCCTCGTCCTCCTCGTCCTCCTCGTCCTCCTCGTCCTCCTCCTCCTCCTCCTCCTCATGCTGCTGCTGCTGCTGCTGCTGCTGCTGCTGCTGCTGCTGCTGCTGCTGCTGCTCCGCCTCCTCCTCCTCCTCCTCCTCCTCCTCCTCCTCCTCCTCTCCTCCCCTCCTCCTCCTCCTCCTCCTCCTCCTCCTCCTCCTCCTCCTCCTCCTCCTCCCTCCTCCCTCTCCCCCTCCCCCTCTCTCCCTAAATCCTCCCTCAATCCTCCATCATTCCTCCCTTTCCTCAACATTTGGGTCTCGCCTCGAAGTCCAGCGCCAGGAGGGGCCCGCTGTCCAGCAACACGAACACGGCCTCGGGCACGCCGCCCGCGCCCGTCAAGGCCCGCCCGCCAGGCCCGCCCGTCAGGGTTCGCCCGCCCGACCCACCCGCCTGTTCATTCCCCGCCCGCCCAATCTGTGCGTTAGGGTCCGCCCGCCCGGGTCGCCCGTTCGGTCGTCGACGCCGGCGTTGCGCCTGTCGTTGCGCTCGTCGTTGCGTTTCTCCTCGTCGTCGTCGTCGTCGTCGGCGTCGTCGTCGTCGTCGTCGCCGTCGCCGCCGTCGTCGCCTTCGGCACCGTGGATGTCGTCGCGGTCGTGGTCGTGGTCGTGGCCGTGGTCGTGGCGAACGTGGTGGTCGTGGCGATGGTGGAGGTGGTCGTCGTCGTCGTCGATGTCGTCGTCGTTTTCGTTGTTGTTGTTGTTGTTGTTGTTGTTGTTGTTGTTCGTGTTGTTGTTGTTGTTGTTGTTGTTGAACTCTCACTATTGAAGAATAACTATTGTTGATCCCCCCTCCGGTGCCATCCGGTGACCATTGTGTTTGTTCAATTGAAATGTTTCCCCCGGGGCTCGCACCCGGTTTTTTTATACGGGAGATCAACGGGGCTCAAGCTAGGTTGTTGGCACCCGGTTTACAACAACAGCGGTTCCACCCTGATACTTCCTCACAATGTATTCCCAAATCGCGCTCTCGCGCGGGACCCTCTCACAATTTGTAAACGAATCGCGCTCTCGCGGGGGACTTCCTCGGAGCTTATTCAGACGATGCGCCCTCGGCGCTCAAGAATCACGCTCTCGGTTTGGAGTTTCGCATGATTTACTTGGGAATAGCGCAATCGTTCGAGATTTCCTAGCGATTCGTGCAAGACCCACGCTTCAGCAACCCGCCTGCTCGACCCGCTATTGGTCTGGTCACCCGATTTGCCCGTCTGGTTATACCAGTTGTTTTCTGCTCCTTGCCCCCTCTCTTGCTAAATTCTTTCGTGTTCCATTGTTTTCCCTCCCCCTTTCACCCGTCTTCTCTTCCGTTGTTTTAAGGGCTGCAGTAGATGCGAGTGGCAGGTAAGGAGAATAAACCCCCAAAGGGGTACGATCGAAGTCGACGAAGGCGGATACAGAGGTTTCGGGATAGACGTATCGATTGGCACGTGAGCAGATATGAGCGAACAATTTAAAAATGATTGCTGCTGTTGCTGTTGAGAGTTCACTGCGGAAAAAAAATATTGTTGATCTCCCCTTCTGGTGACTATTGCGTTTTTCAATTGAAGTGCTTCCTCCGGGGCTGGCACCCTGCGCTTCATCGGGGAAAATCGTTAGGTTCAAACTGGGTTTTTGGCCCCTGGATTACAACAGCAACAATCATTCTAAGACTGTTCGCTCTTACTTGCCCGTGTGTCACCTAAAACGAGTTCCTCACACCCTCGATACCCGCCCCGTTTGTCTTCGGTCACACCCCCTTTGGGGGGAATTGTTCTCTTTGCGGGGGGCGGTGGGCTTAGGGAGGCGGGCAAACCTTAACGGGCGGACAATCCTTCGTGGGCGCACATGTGCCCGCCATTGGAATTGGTGCGTGCCATGCAAAAAAAAGGGAAGAACGAGGGAAAGTGGGAGGAACGGTGCCCGGACAAAAAGTGTCCACACCCATCGCGCTAAGATGATACGACATCGAATTCAGTCGAACAAATATCGGTAGCCCCCGCCCCCCCAACTCAATGTTGGCGGGGTTAGCTGCGAGGCAACGCGCGAGGGACAAAATGTGGGCACTTCAACTTTGAGTTTTCGGGGGGAGGGGGGCGAGTCAAATGTAAATTGCACTTGTTGTTGCCATCATGTCTGACTGCCTTCTCGCCGTCGGTATGGGCACTTTTTGTCCGGGCACCGTCTGGGTAAGCAGGTTTTTATTGTTTCATGGATGTGGGTATATGAAATTATGTTGATGTTGTCCTACTTTATGTTAGGCCATGTCGAAGGTGTGATATGTTGTTAGATTTGATGCTAGATATGCCGAAGTTGTTTTGTATAGTGACGCTTCGTATACGTTGACCGTTCGAAGACTTGTAATCATGCCGGCGTTTACCTAGGATGTTGTTCTCTTTTGTAGCATTCTTGTGGGTCTCTGAGGGCCCCCCTGGCTATCTTGGGGCCCTCATTGGCCGTCTCCACCTGGCGCACGCGTCGCACCTGGCGGGGACTGGGTCGGTGCACCTGGGATGTTGAAATATGTGATGCTCCAGGCGCCAGGATGACGTGAGTCCACGACCTGCGCGGGAACACCGTAAAACTTGTACAACTTGTAAAACTTCCGCGTAAAACTTGTGGGCAAAATACGTAAAACTCGTAAAACTTGTCAGAGAGAAACCTTTTTGTACATTGAAAGTCTTCTTTCTGTATAAGTTTTACAAGTTATACGTCTTTCCCCGGCAAGTTGTAAGCGCACGTTGTACAAGCTGTACAAGTTTTAAGCGATTCCCTGATGCGGCGCAACTGGCCATCGCGCGGCGCCCCCCCCCCCCTCCCCTCACCAGGGGTCGGGCGGACCGCGCGGGAGCGGCTGCCCCATCGTCCTCGGGGTCGTCCTTGGAGACGGGCGTGGCGGGCGCACCTGGCGAACTTGGAGCACTGCGCGCACCCGGCAAACCTTGCTCACCTGGCGCGCGCGGCGCACCTGGCAGGGACTGGGGCGGTGCACCTGGGATGTTGGAATATATGATGCTCCAGGCGCCCAGATGACACATGTGCACGAAACTAACTCCCTCACGTGACAATGGTGGTGACATCGGCGTCGTCGATGGTGATGCTGGAGGCGCATGTGTCGACGCTGAAGTTGGTGTGCGGGAGTCGTTCCGTAATACTGGTAGTCACCACCTTCCGAGCTTCTTGACGGACCCGCGCGCCCTTGGACAGGCGACGCGCCCCGGCAGGCCCGCGCCCCCCTTCCCTTTGCGTGGAGAAGTGCGCGGAGCTGGTGCTACTGGCACAACCAGTTCTTTGCCGGACCTGATTTTTGGTCAGCAGTTCGCGGACCAAGTGCATGGCCAATTCTACGACCAGTTCTGTCCAGTTGTACCAATTCTGCGCGCGCAGAGGCATGCGACGGGGGCGCAGCGCCCTTGCTCACTCCTCGAAGTCCGCGCCCTTCGCGGCCAGCAACGCGTTGCAGCGCCGCTTCATGGACTGCACCAGTGGCTCAAGGGTGGCCGAGGGGACCCGCATGATGGTGCGCTTCAGGCGCCGAATGAAGGCGGCCCTGCTCTCCATCTTGGACGGCGGGAACTTCGCCTCCTGGCCCCGCAGGCGCTTATTGATCATGGACCAGAAGCCGTAGTCAAGGGGGTTGAGGTCCAGGCTGCGCTTGGGGAAGGGAATGCACTCCACCTTCTCCTTCGCCTGAAGGCAACCCGCGCCCGCCCAGCAGGCCCGCCCCCCTGAGCGCGCCTTCGTCGAGCCGCGGGGCCAGCGGGCCCGTGGCTTCGAAGGAGGCGCGCCCAAGATGGAGCCGCCGGTTGGACAATCGAGGAAGGGCCTCAGCCTCTTTGCTGAGCTTGGCCTTGTACCCCGTTGGGTCGTTGTCCTCCAGAATGAGGACAGACCGCGACTTCGCGTTGGCCTTGCGCAGCGCCGGGGCCAAGGCCTCCTGGTACATCTCCGCCGCCGTCGCCGCGTTCCAACGTCCGCCCATAACGCGGCACATGAGCACCTTCTTTGCGGAGATGGCCACGGCCACGTTGACGTTCTTGCCGAAAGAGGACTTGTTGCTCTTCCTCGGCTTGACGTGGCCCGAGGAAGCCTGGAGACGGCCAATGAGGGCCCCGAGACAGCCAGGGGGGCCCTCAGAGACCCACAAGAATGCTACACAAGAGAACAACATCCTAGGTAAACTCCGAAATGATTACAAATCTTTGCACGGTCAACGTATACGAAGCGCCACTATACAAAACAACTTCGGCATATTTAGCATCAAATCCAACAACAGATCACACCTTCGACATGACCTAACATAAACTAGGATAACATCAACATAAATTCATATACCCACATCCATGAAACAATAAAGACCTGCTTACCCAGACGGTGCCCGGACAAAAAGTGTCCACACCCATCGCGCTAAGATGATACGACATCGAATTCAGTCGAACAAATATCCGTAGCCCCCGCCCCCCCCCAACTCAATGTTGGCGGGGTTAGCTGCGAGGCAACGCGCGAGGGACAAAATGTGGACACTTCAACTTTGAGTTTTGGGGGGGAGGGGGGCGAGTCAAATGTAAATTGTACTTGTTGTTGCCATCATGTCTGACTGCCTTCTCGCCGTCGGTATGGACACTTTTTGTCCGGGCGCCGAAGGGAGGGGGAGGGACGAAGGACGAGGGAAAACGCCAGGAGAAAAGGAGCGAAGAAGGGGGGCGGTTGATTAGAGGCAGAGAGAGAGACAGAAAGAGAGAGAGAGAGAGAGAAAATGACATATAAGAGAGGTAGAGCAAGAGAGAGAGAGAGAGGGAAAAGGGAGAAAGAACAAGAAAGAGGGAGGGAGGAGGCAGGAAAGGGGAGGGAAAAGGGAGGAGGGAGAGGGGATAGGGCAGAGAAGCATGAGGATGAGGGAAGAGAGGAGGGAGAAAGAAGGGAGGGGAGGAGGGAGGAGAGAGAGGGAGGAGGAGCAGGAAGGTAAGAGCGTGAACTTTCGAGGAAGTCCTAGGCGAAAGCGCCGTTCCTGAAGGGAGTCTCGGGCGGGAGCCCAAGCGGGCGGGCGATCCCCTGACGGGCGGGTCGGGCGGGTGGGACATTCAAACGGGATGCCTGAGTATG